AGGGCGCTATAGTGCCAGGAAAACTAGTATGTCTTCCTGGCACTATAGTGGTCCTTTTAATAGCAGAAAAGTAAATTTAATAAAAAATGAAACGCACACATACACTCCGAGGTTTTAGGGGACATTAAGGCTCTGCGACCTATTACCATCATCAGTACCCTTGGCTGTCTGAAACCTTCATGCCATGACCTGGTTGAAATCCTTAGCCAGTTTTCATTAATGGTATCCTAGTGATATTGGCCTATTGATATTAACAATTAATCCGTTCTTTCTTTTTATTTAAAAAAAAAAAAAATGTTTTGACAGAATTATAAATGGTTTTGTAATATTTGGATTTTGATCACTTTGACAATGGTTGCATGATAAAAGTGCTTGAATAATTACTATAAAATGTGCAGGATACGCTCTGTTTTGTTCTCCCACTACATGTTTACAATTGTTTTTGTTGCTTAATAGTATGAAATGCTGTCCTGTACCAATCATGCACAACAAAAATAAAGAATTATAAAAAAGATAATGGTTGCATGACACAGGTCAATCAGAAAACATTATTGATCGGTTCCCATTACTGGACTGTTAATTGAACAATATATGAATTGGCACAATCTGCTACCTGGTGGGTACCAAGCCTACAGAATTTCCTCTGGACCCTAAATAATCATGCAGTTAACAATATTGACTCTGCATATAGGTCTTTGTCGAGCTGGATTGTTTTGATAAATTTCTCCACTATATTTCCCACGAAGTTCGGACAACCTTAACGTTTATGAGCATCCAGGAAAATGTGGTTCATAGATACCTGGGATGCCTTGATTTTTTTTTTATTTTTTTATTAATTTATAAAATCCTTTACCAGGATGGATACATTGAGATTTCTCTTGTTTTCAAGTATGTCCTGGGTTCACAAAACATCGCATTGATACAATAGGGTACAATAAAATACAAAAACAATATTAATACACAATATATAAAATTGTAACCTAGAACAGGTAAGCAACATATAATCAACCGTGACAGGTGCGTTCTGTTTTGAGATACGTAGAGTGGAAACTGAAAGGATTTTAGGCTGGGGGAAGATTTGAAAGTGTTCCATAATTGCGGTGCTCTGTAGGAAAAGGAGGACCGAGCCGCTTTCTTTTTGTATTGAGGTAGACCAAGCATGTCAAACTCAAAGTCTGGCACGGGCCACATAAACAAGGTTTAAGTTTATGTGGGCCGCAAAAAAACTTGGTTTATTTTAAAAAGTACAGTATAACCCCCCCCCCCCCAGCATCTCCCTCTACTAGACCACATCACCCCCCTCTACCACACTGTGCAAAATCTGATCCTCCTGCTGACAGACACACACACACCCTCACTGACAGACACACACTTAAACATACTTATTGCTCCCTACCTTTTGGAGCTGATGTGGATGATTCTTCCTGCTCCTCACTGCTCCCTCGCGCAGTTTAGTGGTGTCGGAATATGACATCCTATTCCGGCGCCTGGCTTCACTACAGACGGCGCATGCGAGAGAGCAGGAACACTGAGCTTCCTCCTTGGCCTGGTAAGTTTTAGCTGAGTAGGCACCTGCAATATGGGGAAAGCAGGTGCCTACTCTGCTGTAACACCAACATGTACTCTCGGCTCCCCGGGCCGCAAAGATGGTCCTTGCATGCCGCGAGTTTGACATGCTTGAGGTAGACTAAATAAAATGCTGGTACTTGATCGGAGGTTATAGGAGGTGGGAGCAGCCGGAGAGAGCATTCTGCTCAGGTAGGGTGGGAGCTTCCTAGAAAAGTTCTTAAATACAAGGCTGGAAAGATGAAGAGTGCGTCTGGATTCCAGCAACAGCCAGTTTAGTTCTTATAGCATGTCACAGGGGTGGGTCCTGTAATTACATTGTAGCACAAAGCCGAAGAACAATTTATACAATGTATTAAGTTTATTAAGGTGGGTTTGCTGTGCAGGTGCATATACTACATCCCCATAATCAATGATTGGCTTTTCATGTACAATCTTTTCCTTTACTGTAGGGCTTAGGCAGGACTTGTTTCTGTACAGGTCACCTAGTTTTGGATAAAGTTTAGATGCAAGTTTTTCTATGTGGAGGCCAAAAGATAGATTGGAGTCTAACATACCCAAGTATTTGAAAGGGTGGACTGCGGTCAGTGTACCATTTGAATTTGTTTTGATGGATAGGTCGGAATTGTGTAATTTAGGTACTGTTCCAAAGAGCATTGTGACAGGTTTATTAGTTTTTAGGAAGAGTTTGTTTTTTGTGGTCCACTTTTTTTACCTCTGTGAACTGGTCTTGGAGCACAGCCTCAAGCTGCGGTAGATTGGATTTGCTTGCATAGATTACTGTGTCTTCGGCGTACATGTGTACATTTGAGGATTTGCAGACATTAGGCAGATCATTTATAAATAATGTAAATAGTAGGGGGCCGAGAATGGAATTTTTGGGAATACCACACGTGACTGGGAGAGGGAGTCGCTATGAGAAATGGACACATATTGTGATCAATCCGATACATACGATCGAAACCAGGTTAGCAGACAATCACCAATACCTGAGTTTTTGAGTTTGTGCAGTAGAATGACGTGGTCTACTGGTATCAAAGGCCTTTGCAAAATCAAGGAAATTAGCTTCAGTTAGGTCTCCTTGTTCCATGCCAGTTTGGATGTCATTGCAAACTTTTAAGAGGGCAGTTGTAGTGGAGTGATTCAGGTGAAAGCCCGATTGATCAGGGGTCAGATAGTTTGATTGTTGGTAATGCTCACATAGTTTAGCTACAGCAGGGCTATACTATTGGTAATAGGCCTCCCAACTGTAACCAGTTTCCTTGTTCCCTGGTGTCCTACTAACAAGCATCATTAGATGTGCTTATTCTATGGTCAGGGCTGTAGGAAGGTTCAAAGAGCTGAAACAGTGCACCCTGCATACCTCACCCATGGTTACTTAATTGGCAGGAAGCCTAGTATGCATTCATGCCAGGCTAATTCTACAGCTGCACCTGCCCCCTTATCTGTCATATTGGAAGGAGCCAATGGTGCAAATTGTGTCACTGGCCTGCCTCCTTCTGCCCCGTCCTTTGAAGTGGAATCTATGTAGTTGTGTTTAGTTTTGTTTTTTTCATCACTTTATTTACTTTACTTTACTACTAAACACCATATATTGAAATATATATGAAATAAAGACCCCCTAACCAGATATGTGTATATATATATATTTTTTTGTCATCTCTCAACTTGTGCAATTCTTTAAAGGAACACTAGGGGTTAGGGTCAGGAACGAAAACATGTATTCCTGACCCTATAGTGTTAAAAACACCATTTAGGTGGCTTGCGCCCCCCTCTTAAAGAGGGTTAAAACATACCCTAATTCCAGCTCTGCGCAGATGCGCTGGCCCCGCCCCTGATTCGCCTCTTTGGTTACAGCTTTAGAATTTAGGATTTTTTTTTCCCAGTCCAATGCTTTTCCCTATGGGAAAGCATTGTATTGGATAAAATAGGCAAAGAGGTGGGATGGGGACTGGGCCAAATACTGTTTTGGCTAATCAGGACCTCCCCAGGAAGCACCTCAAGTGGCCATCTGAGGAGTGGCCACAGGATATCCCTAGGGGGCAATGTACACACTGCCTTTTCTCTGAAAAAGCAGTGTTTGCATGAAAATGCCTAGAGGGAATGAGTATACTCACCAGAACAAATACAATAAGCTGTTGTTCTGGTGACTATAGTGTCCCTTTAATAATATATGAAAATAGCTTATATACTTTATATGTGTTTTATTTATATGGCCCTAAACAACAGTGCTTGTCCTTTAAAAGTTGTATTAGTACCCACCCAGTCCTTGCGTGTCAATAGTTTTTTCTGGATAAAAACAAATCTTGTTGCAGCCAAGTGATTTTTAAGTCCGCAACCACATCTGCTGCACACTTCTGCTTCCAATCAGACTTCATTTCGAAAGTAGATAAAAATATAAATATAAGTTAAAAATAAGTTCTTTTAAAGGGACACTCTAGTCACCCAGACCACTTCAGCTCAATGAAGTGGTCTGGGTGCCAGGTTAGAAGCTGCTATGTTTACATTGCAGGGCTAATCCAGCCTCTAGTGACAGCCGCTAGAGGCACTTCTGCAACGCTGGATGCGAAAATCGCATTCAGCATGCAGAACGTCCATTGGAAAGCATTGAGAAATGGTTTCCTATGGATTGTTTGAATGCATGCTCGGCTCTTAACGCGCATGCGCTTTCCGCTCCACTCGGGAGCTGACGTCGGAGGGGGAGGCGAGCTCACCAGTGCCGAACGAGCCCGGCGCTGGATAAAGGTAAGTGGCTGGTTTTAACCCCTTCAGCGCCAAGGGAGGGGTGCCATGAGGGTGAGGGACCTAAGGGTCATATAGTGTTAGGAAAATGTTTGTTTTCCTAAAACTATAGTGATACTTTAAATTTATTTGGTAAACTAAAAAAATTGTGTGTTTTTTTTTTTTTTTTTTTTTTTAAACGGAGTTTGTAATATGTACATAAAAACGGACAATAAAGTAAGGTACGGTTTTAATTTTCCCAAAATCTGTTATTCTTTTCTAATTTTGCAAATTGGCATTACATGTCACCACAATTTACTTTTTTAGTGAATACACCTCATTTACTTTCTATAACGTTTAGTCACTAAATACAAAAATTTTTGTGGTTTTAAAACTGAATTGCATAATTAGACAAATAATGCAGATTTGGGGAAAAAAGCTGTAATTCATTGTAGTTTATTTGATGAAAAAATCCCTGAAAGTATGCATGCATCTGCTCTTATTTTATCATCTCGTGTGACCTTCACATTGCTGGCAGGAAAGGAGAAGGTCACTCAGGAACACTTCTATTTAAAACATGTAATGGGTAATCCGCTCAGGTCATTTAAGATACATAGATTACAAAAATGTAATAAAATATTATGTTATGTAAATATGATTCATTTTGTCTATACAGAGTGTGTGCATATGTCTGTACACATATATGTATAGACGTGTGTGTGTGTGTGTGTGTGTGTGTGTGTGTGTATATGTATGTAATATAGAGAGAGATATACATACACACACACACACACACACACACACACAGTCTGTATAGACAATATTTATAATTAATACAATGTTAAACAAAAGTCTGCACACCAGTCAAGCCATAAGGCTTGCTTTTTCCACAGGAATCACAAATTTGCAGTGATGTTACTACGGCAAAGGATTCTGGGTGGGCATATGCAAATTAGTTTAACAAAAAAATCTAATTTTTGCCTCATTCCATTTTAAACATGGATTCCTTGGAGTCTGTGTTTGCTGTATACAACAGCTTTGAAACGAAACTTAGGAAAATGTGCAAAGCCATTGATGGACAGCTGTTTCGTTGTTGCAAATCATCAGCATGAGGTTGGTTACTGGCTTGCTATTGAGGCTTGGTGTGTGTGACGATTGGTGAAGGCTGCTCCCTGACGCGGGTTGGGCGTCATGGAAGTCAGACATGCGGACTAGTGTTCAGCACACGCCAGACATCAGGGTTGATAGTCCACAGCTGATTAGGTGAGTGACCATTGGTTGGCATGTCTTATATATGTTTGTCATTTTGTATATATCTTTTTATTGTGTCCTGATGAAAGCTCCGATCGGGAGCTGAAACGTTGATGAACTAATCCTAGAGTGCCGGTATCTTTTCATATTTTATATCTTTTGTGACTTGGCACCAGGTATACAATATATTTAAAGTTGGAGTGCAAGAGGTCTTCTATTTGCTTTGCTATGTATGTGTGTGTGTGTGTGTGTGTATATATATATATATATATATATACACACTCTGTATAGACAAATCAATACTATTTACATAACACATAATTTATGTCATCTTCACAGTTATTACAGGGATATAATAGACACCAATATTTTGGTGTATAGATGATGCCCCATGCAGTCTCACTGCTGAATTAATCGCCCTTTAGGGCAGGTAATTGAGCAGAAAGACTGCAGGGGAATGATCTATATAGCACTAGCCACAACTTCCTGCATGTGACTTGCACAGCCTTACTAAATACATCCTGTGAAGAGAGATTTAATCTTAAACTTCTTTATTGCAAAGTCTGTTTAATTTAGAATTTCTGATGCCCTGCTCTACTAATAGCCTGGTAGGCCCTTCAGTTGTGTGATGATTGATTATTTCAGCCATGTAAATGGGGCCAGCCAAGGCGAGACCGGAGAGTGAGAAACAATTTGTACAATAACCTTTTTACTCAACAGAGAAGGGGGATAGGGACAGTTAGTTTAACACTATACTGTCAGGAATACATGACTCCTGACACTATAGTGTTCTCTAACACTGCACATCACATTTGGAACCTCTTCTATATAATTATACTCCCTAACCCATACCTCCCAACAGACTTTTTTTTTAATTGAATTATTTTGAATAAGCTTTTAGAAAAATCACAGTGAGAAGCGCGGAAGCGCCTCTAGCGGCTGTCAATGAGACAGCCACTAGAGGCTGGATTAACCCATATGTAAACATAGACTCCTGTGTTTACAGCAGGCAGGGTTAAACCTAGATGGACCTGGCACCCAGACCACTTCTTAAGCTGACCTGGCACCCAGACCACTTCTTAAGCTGAAGTGGTCTGGGTGCCTATAGTTGTCCTTTAATGGTGACTTTTGTAGATAAGGCATTTGAATAGTTTTGCTAACCATGTTAAATCAAGGCCATTGTTAGGTGTGAGTGAGTGACAGGGGGTAAGATGGACAACAAGGAGGTATGCCAAGTAGCAACACATAGCAAGCCTACCAAAAAAAGAGAAGTAATAGGTCTCTCCAAAAAAGAGCAGGCCCACATGAAAGGGGTGCGTACATCCAAAGTACCGTATATATACTCGAGTATAAGCCGAGTTTTTCAGCACATTATTTGTGCTGAAAAACCCCAACTCGGCTTATACTCAAGTCACTGTCTGTATTATGGCAATTTACATTGCCATAATACAGACTGGGGGCTGGCAGCGAGCGCTTACCTCTCCTGTAGCTCCTGTCAGCTCCCTCCTCCTCCGCGCCAGTCCGGTCAGCACCTCGGTCAGCTCCCAGTGTAAGTCTCGCGAGAGCCGCGGGGTCATAGTGCGGCTCTCGCGAGACTTACAGTGTGAGCTGACAGAAGAGCTGCACGGACCGGCGCGGAGGAGGAGAGCGCTGACAGGAGCTGCAGGAGAGGTAAGTAACAGCTCTGGCAGCCCCCTCCTCCCCCCACTGAACTGCCAATGCCACTGGACCACCAGGGAAGGAGAGCCCCCCTCCCTGCCATGTATCAAGCAGGGAGGGGGGATGAAAAAATTTATAAATAATAAAATAATATTAAAAATAATAAAATAAAAAATAACAAAATATTAATAAAACAAAAAAATTATTAAAATTTAATAAAAATAATAATAAAAATGCCCACCCCCCACCAAGGCTCTGCAACACACAGCACACACACACACTGCATTCACACACACACACACACACACTGCATTCACACACACACACACACACACTGCATTCATACACACACACACACACACACACACACACACACCGCACTCCACTCACACACACACCGCACTCCACTCACACACACACCGCACTCCACTCACACACACACCGCACTCCATACACAAACACACCGCACTCATACACAAACACACTGCATTCATACACACACACACACACTGCATTCATACATTATATACACACACTGTAAATAAATATTCAATTAATATAATTTTTTTTTAGGATCTAATTTTATTTAAAAATTTACCAGTAGCTGCATTTCCCACCCTAGTCTTATACTTGAGTCAATAAGTTTTCCCAGTTTTTGGGGGTAAAATTAGGGGCCTCGGCTTATATTCGGGTCGGCTTATACTCGAGTATATACGGTATCTATACTTAAGGAGGACAGGACCCTATTTTAGGCCCAAACCTCTCTGTCTTTCTTCTCTTTCCTAATGTCCCTCTCTTTTCTACAAACAGGTGCCCCCTTCTGTCACTCACCTGATTCTAGTTCGGACGTTTCTCGGCGCTGATTCAGTCTACGCCTCCCCTCTGCAGCCGGGGAAGCTAATGCGCATGCTCACACTGGCCAAATGTTCTTTTTGCTTTTTTCACACAAAATCAAATATGAATGCTAACTTTGGCTACTAAAAAAGACTAGACATACCCCACTTGCAATACCTTGGGTTGGATACTTTTGCAAATGGTATGCCATCATGGGGGTAATTTTCATTCCTGGGCTACCATACCTCTCAAAGGTAACATTACTAATCTGGCAAATTTCAATGTGAAAAAAATGGAATGTGCTATATTTGACCCTGTAACTTTCCAAAACACTGTAAAACCTGTTAAAGGGCGGCACTGTTGTACTTGTTAGAATACAAATATGTGCATTTTATTACAGTAAAAGCTAACAGTATTATGACATTTACAGCTAAAATGTCAGGCAGAACTACAATTTATTTTTAAAAAAATCTTAATTTCTCACTGTTTTTTTAAATTCATAATAAATTGTTTCATGTATGAATAGTTCATGAGATATTAAAACCCTGTTTCTCCTGAACAAAATGATATATAATAAGTGTGGGTGCATATAATCTGAATGAGGTGAACTACGGTTGAACAGACATATAGCGCAAATTACAGTTTTTGTTTACGTTTTGTTTTGATCGGAACGTGTACTATTGACTCCGTCCTGAAGGGGTTGAGCAGCTAATTCCATGCAGTGTATGCAAATTAATTACTTAGCCAAATTTGCATAGGAAACCTCTTGATACAGTGTGTGTGTATGCATGTATGTATGTATGTGTGTTGATGTTACATGTCAGAACCCTGTTATCTAAGCTCGGACACAACCCGGCTGCATTCTCCGGGCACTCCTTCCGCATAGGAGCTGCCTCAGCAGCCTCTAGCACAAACGCACCGGTCCACATCATCAAAAGGCTGGGGCGATGGAAATCCTCCATATATAACGCATATATTCCGCAACCGGAGAAAGAGCTTCGCCAAGCTTTCAGGAACTTGGTCTTGTAAAATGCAATAAAGTGTGTATTTTCTCGAATTTATCTTTTGTCCTCTTTTATTTACAGACCCACTCGTACGTTGGTTTCGGCACACCACAACCAACTTTGCTCACAGATACTATCCATTACGTATTTAAATTCCGAGCACAAGTAGAAAGGCCATTAGGCCTGAATTTGTGGGAGGAGTAAGTCCCCTACTTAAACTCCCAGCCCCTACTCACAGCTGCCACTCAGCTGATTGTCCCCACCCACCTACACCCTGTTTTAACTACATTATCCTTGGTGGGCCCTCTTTTATTTACAGGCCCACTCGTACGTTGGTTTCGGCACACCACAACCAACTTTGCTCGCCACAACCAACTTTGCTCACAGATACTATCCATTACGTATTTAAATTCCGAGCACAAATATATATATGTGTGTGTGTATATATTGTATTTTATTTTTTTACTCTCTGTGAATCTGTGTGTAAATAAGATATATGATGAGATTCTTGTTTTTAGATTACATTATAGTTTTAGTCCTGCCTCTGGCCTCACGCCCATAAAATTTGCCTATTGAAAAATATCGCGATGTATGTTATTTACAGATTTCGGTTCCACTGTTTCCAAGTGATGAGTGTAAGTCCTCCTGGGGGATAAACTTCTTATCACATTGACCTCCGCGTGGACAGGGCTTCGAAGGATAAGAACAGAACTTGGATATCAGACTGTGATGCTCCTAATTTGAGCTTCTCTTTTTCTCTTTCTATGATCATATCATCTAAAAAAACAAATACCTTATCCAGACTTTGCGTCTGTGGGAGTATCCATTATACTGGTCAAAGCAGGGTTGCTACAATAAACCATTTTTGGTATGGGTGTGTGTGTAACCAATTTTGTGTGTGTGTAAACAACACTGCCTTTTCAGATTCCATGCATTTTCGTGAGGAGATGCTGATTGGCGCAATGCTGCGTTTTGCCACACATGCTCAATAGCATCCCAATGGTTTTCTATGGGAAAGCATTGGATTGGCTGAGATCATGAAGGTTAATTATCTCAGCCATGGA